AGGACTAGGCAGACTAACTAGGTTATGCATTGGTTTCAACCATGCTGGGTTGGCATCGTATTTCCGCAGTGAGTGGTTGAGACCATTGTCAGCTTTGAAAGATTTTAACAGCCGAAATATCAATTTGGAAATTCTTCCTGCAACAGCGTTTTCGAATAATAGAAAACTTGTCAACATTTTACTCAACAACAATGAACTAACATCAATACCAGATTCCATCTTTAACAACATGCCAGACTTAAAGAGAGTTTTCTTGCATTACAATGGTCTTATAAAGCTTCCAGACAATATGTTCAATGGATCTACAAATATTACAGATTTGAGTTTTGCTTACAACAAATTAACATCGATCTCACAAGACGTAGGCCTACACAAGTTATCCTCTTTGAAAAAACTTCATTTATATGGAAACCCTTTTGACTGTGGATGTGATCTCATTTGGTTTCGGCGCTGGATAGACACTGTCACAGATGTCATACAAGACATTGACAATGTAAATAAATTGCTCCAACGGACAAAATATTCGACAATTTGATCCGGACAAATTGCAGTGTGGTTTCCCCGTTATTGTGGTTACTGCTGCTTCCATTGTAACGTTGTTTATCCTCAGTTTAACAATAGTCCTAGTTTTAAACAGATGGCGGATCAGGTAAGAACGTTGCTCTATATAATGAAACATATATAATTTGCATAGAAACACTAGTGAACAATCGTATCAAAAATGATATAGCTTGATTTACGTATTCACATGAAAGAAAAAAGGAAACTGGAGCATATAGCTCAGATTCTGCAATAAGATGTTTTAATTGTAGTGTGTCTTGTTTTAATTGTTATGTTTCACGTTTTTGCAGATATGGTATATTTTTGTGTAAACTCCGTATCGGTGGTTATCAGCCCATTAATGTGGAGGAACTTGACTATCAGTTTGATGCATTCATCTCCCACTCAAGCAAAGATGAGGATTGGGTATACGATACAATTCAGGCAAAACTGGAAAACCCACCCTATAATTATAAACTTTGTCTAGATTTCCGAGATTTTATGATCGGTGACCATATTTCTGACAATATTCTCAGATCTATAGAAAGGAGTCGTAAAACGGTTTTCATTGTTACGAACAGTTTTGTTGAAAGCGAGTGGTGTTATTTTGAACTTGAGATGGTGTTATTTTGAACTTGAGATGGTGTTATTTTGAACTTGAGATGGTGTTATTTTGAACTTGAGATGGTGTTATTTTGAACTTGAGATGGTGTTATTTTGAACTTGAGATGGTGTTATTTTGAACTTGAGATGGTGTTATTTTGAACTTGAGATGGTCCGGCAAAGAATGTTCGATGAGCATCGAAATCAAGCTGTGATTGTTCTGAAAGAAAACATTACAGCCACTAAAATGACTGGATTATTACAATATTTGATGAGAAATGGTAACCATATAATCTGGAGTGAGGATAAACAAGTACAAAAGTTGTTTTGGAAAAAACTTGACGCGGCTTTGAAGTTCACAAACATAAACATGATTTGAATATGTCGACAGTAGACTTATAAATATGTGGGAACTGTTCAATATATATTCAGATATCAATGTATGAACTAAAACGGAATCATTTACATGGGCATGAAAGTATACTACGTATACAGTTGTTCTTTACACATCCAAATAACATCCGGTTCGTTAAATATTCAGATAATGTTTTTCTTGAAATTGTTTTCACAGTCTTAGTATATGACAAACTATGAAAAGAACTAATTTTAATCTATCAAATATTATTGTATTCAAATCACTGACATTGCGAGTGAACGAGTGACTGGTGTATCGTATGGAATATCATTGTAGTGATCGCCAGGGCGAACGACACACTTGCACCACGCTACGAATAATCTCCCCCAGATCGCCGCTGTGGATCGACTGTGCGTAAGGGTGCATATCCGGGGTACATGTACGTATTCGTATCGTTATTCCATCCCATGAGTGTTTTCAAACTATCAAGGTAGATGCTACTGGCAACGAATACGTTTGAAGCCAAGCGAAACTTACAGGTATGGCGAGCTAACGAACACGTCTGGAAAACTAGTTACACGCCATGGGGTCCACGGGTAACTAGCTATTAGTAAAATGATAATTAATAGAATAATATGCGTATTAAATATACACACAACCTAGATACTGCGCCATTATACCTATATTTAATTTCTTCAGCGATTTGACAAGTATTGAGTAAATTGAGAAAGCCGTAAGTTACCATGAGCGGCGTACATGACAGTTGTAAAAATATTTAACAGCGCCACCAACGACGAATTACGCGCAAATGAGAAATTCCGCTAAAGGACTACGAAATAGACGGGTATGAGACAGCGTACTTCATTTTCGGACACAGCGCGTACCAGCGAACCTTATCGTTATGGTACTGTAAAATGACTAATTTTCACTGGGTTTAAATTTCACTGATTTACCATTTCAGGCATATTCAGTGGGTTTTAAATTCACGGTTTCGTCATTTAGATAATGTGTTCTATGCTAAATTTTACATATTCACTGGGTTTTAATTTAGCGCATTTTTCCAGTCAGCGAAATAAGCTAAATTAAAACCCAGTGAATAATTAATCCTTTTACAGTATTCGTAGTTGACGGTCGAACATCAAATAACCAAATCCTCATTATTTTAGTGTAAAATGTCACGTAATTTTTATGTGTTGGTTTTAAAAAATCTTTATAAACACAGAAATAACCCAATTTTTCATGTACATACTGAAATACTTTGCTTGATCGAGCCTATTATTTGAGTTAACAATGCAACAGTAGCTACAGTATTACAGGGTATATCGTTTTTTACTGCCGGTAAGATTATTTCTCCCGTCATCGAACTAACTTTAAATAAGCACAGAGCACAGTGACAGCGATGACCGCACGGTAACAATTATTAAAATATTTTGGATTTCACAGCAAACATTCGATATTGAGCCCAGATTTAGTGAATTATGTTTTTAACGTGGTGTGTACATTATGAGCCAATAACTCATATGAAGATACACAATCCATGTATCCTTCAGTGACGTATACACACTGGCGGATCCAGAAACTCGGTAAGTGGGGCGCTCCTAATGACGTTGCCGAAGTAGACCTCCGGTTGGCTGGATTTTTAAATTGATTTGTCAATTTTTCTGCGGGCTGAAGGGGGCGCCTGGCGCGCCTCTCCCTAAATCCGCGCAGTAGTACACGAAGGATTATTCCAAACAATCTTTTTGATGAAACTCTCGGCCGTTAACGAGAAACTGGCGCCCTCTGTTGGTGCATCATGATGTATGTAAAATATGACATGAAATTTGTTGGTGTAAATGTGGGTAACGTGGCATGGTGTGGTGTATATGAATGAAAACGTTATTCATCACCTCGCTTTCTTTGGAAGGAAGAGTTGACTTTGTGTATTGGAACAAAATTGATTGACTTCGATTTGAAGAGGAAATCGACGGCCACAAAAAAAACTACTCTTCTAAATTCCATTCTAGAAATGGCATATATAGTCCTAATTTCATTGGAATGTAACTGTATACCGTGAACTTTACGATCAGGTCCAATATCCACCAATGTGACAAATGACGAAATCACATGGCGGATTGATTTCCTATGCACAGCGACTTCACCGCCCTGCTTGAAATAGGTCAAATATGTTTTGTTTTAAGAGTATCTTTATATAATGGGGGTCACATAATTACGCAAACAAAATAAATAAATAAATAAACAGTATTTTTTCTTGTGGTCCTCCCCTATTTGATATGTTTTGAGCAATATTTGTTTTTCTATTTTCGCCATTTACCCATACCGATTTATTCTTTGATAGCACCGAAAATGATGTTATGGCAGGTGATCGAATGCGATAGTTGCTTAGACGATTTGATAAATAATTCTTAGCAGTTGTATATGTTGACATAACATGTAGTCTTGTCACTTATTTGTGAACTGCATCTTTAGCGTTAGCACTGTTAGTTGGGCGGTCATTTAACAGCCACGCCTTCTTTCTTGACAGTATATCATCGATGTTCTCGGCATGATGGTCCTTTCAGTGTTCTTCAGTGTTTGGTAAGGTACACAAACAAATCGTTTGACAGTCTCCTATTTCTTTAGCTGAGGGTCAGGTGGTGTAGGCCATGCCGCAAAGCATCATGGGAATAAAAAGTCAGACCGTTTCCAGGTTTCCACCTGGCTGAGGGTGGTGTTTTTTTTGTTTACGGAGAGACATAGATATATTTAAATACAATATAGATACATACATACAATATAAAACTAGGTGTAATGAAATCCACTCACTGGCACACAATGATTGAGTTATTTGCTTTAAAATTACGGTTTGCTTAACAACATCCAGGAATGAAATTAGAATCATATATTCGCTCACTGTCTACAAGTTATATTAAAAATGCAAGTACTGCAAACCACATGTCCGGTTTTTAAATAGATATTTAAAAGTTGTTTAGGTGTGTGATTACTATACACATATGGGATGTGAAGATCTTCAAATTTAGGCCACTTTTCTAATGTGGTTTTATCGAATAGCTCTGACATACTTGCTTGTTAAAACATGTCTTGCATGATAGTTTTTGTTTTACGATGATTGGTGGCGCTGTTTATACCAGACTGCCTTATTAGAAATTACAACAGTAACATTTATTGTTCGAAACACACACGTGGGTTAAGCAGTCTCTCTTGATACTCGCCCGTGGCGATTACAATCGCGATTTTGAACGAAATGGCAATCGAATGCGGTAAACACTCAACACAACGTGCCAGTCAGTTGAACTATGTTATATATAATATCAGATAAATGGAACATAACAAAACGACATGAGACATAAACACACATAAACAAGCAAATACAATATGCATGAGGTATTGAAGATAACAATGACAGATTATTTTATGCAACATATTATCATTGTGTGGTAAGTCTCGCAATACAGTCACGTGGCCTGGTGTAAAGTACAGATATGACCAGTTCAATAAATCAATGTCGGTACTGCATATGTTGACCGGACATGTATTGGCGGCATTCGAGATCCGAATCGTCGCCATTACACATTTAGTAATGCCACGCAGAATTCCAATCATGTGGTCTACAACATTCGTCTCGCTGCTGGTTTTATTATTCGCCTCTTACGCGTACGCTTCTCCGAAATGCATCCCAGCAGTCAATGTTACTTGCCCTGAGTTGTGCGAGTGTCAGCTTTGCGGAGAACAGTTACGCTTGAATATAGACTGTTGGAAGATTAAGACAGCGAAGTTACTGAGGAAGGCGGTAAAGCAAATGCCGACCGAAACCAACCGTCTCTATATTGGGTGGAATCAACTGTCTCAGATATTCAATGAAACATTCTCACATTTAACAAACCTGACAAAACTTTACATTGATCACAACAAATTGGACGGCAATTTAATACATCTGGCAGCATTCAAGGGACTCGGCAAGTTGAATTATTTGATAATGGGCAACAACCCACATCCGGGTCTTTTGAAACTGCGTAGAGAATGGTTAAAACCATTGGCATCATTGACAAAGTTCGATTTTCAGTTCAATAATCTGGATAAGATTGATGAAAATATTTTCGTCAATAACAATGACTTAGAGTGGATTATATTCAATAACAACAATCTCAAAGCAATTCCAGCTTCCTTGTTTCAAAATATGACTAACTTGAACGGATTGTTTTTACATCGCAATGATTTGAGCCACCTACCACCAGGGATGCTCAACGGAACAGATCAACTAACCAGGCTGAACATCGCTCATAACAAACTAAGGACCATCTCCCCCGACATTGGTTTACAAAATTTAGAATCCTTAAAGCAACTACACGTATACGGTAATCCATTAGACTGTGGATGTGACTTAATTTGGTTTCGTAATTGGATCGACACTACAGATATTGTATGGGATATAAACAATGTAAACTGTTCGGATGGACGAAACATCCTGAAATTCAACCCCGATGACCTGCGATGTGAATTCCCCGTTATTATGGTTACTACAGTTTCAGTGGCAGCGTCAATAGTGCTTTGTGCTATCATCGTCTCACTTCGTGCTAACAGATGGCGAATCAGGTGGGTAAAGTGCTTAAGGGACACTGTCAACAAAACTGTCGACAGGTCCATTTCACTGTTCTATTACCCTATCGTTACAACCAGTCATAAAGTATAGCCCTATTTGACACAAATTGGTTGCAATGAAAACATTCTTTCTCTATTGTATTAGCCTCTGACACGCACATGCGCAGGACTGTACTCACTACGGTACTTCAAGACGAGAAATCCCATCCTACCAAGAACTGTGATGTAATCGGAGAATAAAACCATTAAATTATTATTTTGTTCTATCTGCTAATATATCATACTTTGTTTTCGTGTCGCAATAGATTTTACAGACAACCAATTTATATGCCAACTTCCTCGGAACTATTTTTTTGTTAGCGTCATAAAAAACAAATATTTTGCCAATAGCCAACAGTGACACGGCTGACGATTTTCTCAGTCTCTGTGAAGATAAATCCGCTAAAAATATGTATATGACTAGAAAATGTGACAGTAAAAAGTCACCCGCGCAACGTTTAGCCCTTTAATTTATTAAACGTGTGTAGTAAATTTTATTTGTTCCCCGCCAGAGAATCGGAGTTTGGTACTCCAGGGTCATGAATTTTGTATTTGTTTAATCCATGTATCTGTTTCGTAGCTTCTAAAAGCTACAAGACTGTACCTGATTGGCTACCCAACCCTGACACATAAAGAATCAAACCAATCAGAAAGCAGCTTGTTTGTCAACAAGTGTGTGTGACGTTTCAAATTTTGTGCCTTGTATGCATGCTTATTTGCATAAATGGTCACCGTTCCTGAACACTGATTACTGTTTTTTTTTTTTTTTTTTTTTTTGAAACTTGGCAGTTTTTTTTATTCACAAATAGTAACACTGATTACTGTTCCTGATTACTACGTTTACCCTACTGCGATTAACATTTACAAGTATTTTTTCACTCACCATTATCTTTACGGTTTGGGGAATTCACTATTGGTAACCTACAATAATAATCACCTGAATTGGATCTCAAAACATTTAATTGGTGTTTAATTCGCATTTAAAGTAAAAAGGGGCATTTTGGGTGTGTTTTAAAAACATAATTTGGTATTTGAAAGAATTTGTCGAGGTAACGGCGAATATCTTCAGGCACACACCCATGTGCTGATCACGACATACAAGCGCTTATGTACAGAGCACTGACATCCACATAGAAATAGATTGTTTATTACGTCATAGTCATGCGACAAATAGATTTGTGCTTTCTCATTATCAAAGGAGCTACTGTTAGTAATGTGACCTTTGTTATATACCCGCCCATGTAACCAAACATTTGATATGATTTAACCTCGAGGTCGCAAAGTGTGTAATCGTACGATGTGATATGAAATTTCATTACTAAATATGGGAAGCACAATCTTTAGTTTCGTGTGCTTTTCATGTAAAAGACGAAATCTGATTGATTTGTTAGCAATTCATAAATTCTACATATTATAGTGACGTAATTCGTATAAAATAAATTATACCACGACGTGTACGTGTATGGTAGTTTGTGAGTATAACCCCGTGCAACAGCATGGCAACTTGTGATAGTATGTCAACAAATCAAACAGCTAGTTTTGAGTAATGTACCCCCACGACATGGTGGGGTAAAGGGTCATATCCAGTTTAGGCGTTGTCCATAAATAATCAATCTGTTAATTTCGACTCCAGTCAATAGAATGATCATTTAACTGCATATCCAAATTGATGTAACATAATATGTTCGAAGCAGGCAGATCGGTGACCGCTCGCAATCAAATAATTATCTCTAATGCTTTAAATTAAAGTTTAATTCACACTTAGCGCTAACATTAATTGTATAAAAAATACCGATTAAAGCCAGGTGTTCAAAAACACGGATTTTAGAGGATGAATATACATCTAGAAAACACAGTCAGAAAGTGAACTGAAAACAGCTGCAGCCCATTTCACTGATTGCTGTAACATTCCGTCAAAAAGTCAATACTTAGTTTCAAAGTTCAATTCACACTGGACTGTCGCCGTACGGCATACTACTATTCATATTAGTATGTTAAAATTAACGATTTAACATAGTATGTAATTTATCACTTTTTATGTTGCCGAATATACCAAAAGCAGTTTGAAGCTGGAATTACCCTTTGAAATCAAATCATTCCGGAACGTAAATAATGAAACCCGAATGGTGTTTCTCGACCGATCACAATGCTTCGTAGTCGGATTTACACTAAATATCCCGTTTTTCGAGCCATACTCATTTTCTCGAGTCAAATAGTTATTGTTCTCATAAATTGGCCTAAGACTTATACACGCTATTGTTCAAGGTCTTATAAACGTCCCAGGAAGTTTATACTTCTTTGTTCTCATAAAATACACCAGGATTTTTATATAAACCATATATTATACAAGATAAAATACTGAGCTAGTTTTACTGTACTAAGAAAAAAACAAAACAACGCGAAATCTTGGTTCAAGATCAGGTCACTGGCCCAGCATGCATCGCGTTGGGTCAAATCACGAGTAAAATCAAAACAGTCCTCATCACTAGTCTAGTGCAAGCCACACAAACCCAACATTGTTATAATATGTTCCCACCTCGCCCTACTTTCAAATAGGTTTTCCACAAAGACAATATTATTATGTCCTATATTCAAATATTTTTTCTCTTCACTGGACGCACCTCAAAACTACATATATGTGAGTAATAATCTGTTGGGATCAGCCGTTTCCATGCCTCCGATATAATTAAATGTAGTTAGGGTTAATAACTCTTACATAATCAATCCCACTCGATCCAAGTGGGAGTTTGATGTATCATTAGCCACCTTCTCGATTTCATTCACAAATTGGTACAGCTAGGTCATAATGTAATGTAATGTAATGTAATGTAATGTATTCTCATCATTTTGTATCGACAGATACGGCATATTTGTATTTAAACGTCGATTCAAGGTAAATAAGTACGAAGAAATCAAAGATGACGACGATGAGTTCAAATATGACGTTTTCCTCTCGCATTCCAGTAAAGACGAAGAATGGGTTTTAAAGGTCCTACACCCAACTCTAGAGAATCCACCTTATAATTATAAATTGTGTTTAGATTATCGCGATTTTATTATCGGGGATACAATCGCTGATAATATTATTGACGCTGTGCAGAAAAGTCGTAAAACCGCGTTCATCTTAACCAAATCGTTTATAGAGAGTGAGTGGTGTTACTTTGAACTTGAGATGGTGCGGCAACAGATGTTTGATGAACACAGAGATTTAGCCATCTTAATCATGAAAGAGAATGTCTCCACCGGTGATATGCCAGGATTGCTGAAGTATTTAATGAGAAAGGGTAACTATATTGAATGGAGTGACAACAAACACGGAGAACTGTTATTCTGGAGCAAACTGGACTCGGCACTGAAATGTACCAAAACTAATATGGTTTGATTTTATAGTAAGACAAACTGTAAACGATCACCGGGCTTAACACGAACTCTAGAACTTTTTATCTGCATCAATTAGATCCTGACAATATATCCTTGATCAATGAATTTTCAGTTCTTTCAGTTTCATGTCATGGTCTGAAATGATATGCAAGATGTACTTTGAGGCATTTTTGGGTGAAATTAACTCCCATTTATTCCACACACAAAAAATAGTGTTAATAAGAATTACCTTATAATTAATAAACACAATTGCCATGACAACACGGCAGCATTTTATCGGTGGCGAAATATTGCTTTTCCCACCAATTCTCAGAAGATTATTTCTTCTGCGTTAACACGACTGTGAACGACGCTCGGTCGGGTCAAGTTCGTTTAGAAGTGGAGCTGGGATATCCCCCTTGAGATGGGGTTATCGTTTAGATGAACATGCCACGTCGGAGTTCTGGAATTCAATCGCAGAACAAAACCGAGTGTTTGTTGGTGACAACATTATTGAAGCCGACTCGACCTGAACGCGTTCACACAACCGTTTTTGCTGGTTTGTCTGTTGGGTTTTGATGCAATGCTGTCGTGTAACATGGTATAACTACATTGAATTTGATCACCATGAATTATGCGATGTAATCGCCATTGTGGTCTTATCTTATGTTATTTTATGAAACTACAATGCGCTGTAACGAGTGTCCTATAAATGAAATGTTTTCTGCACTGTCCTGTGGCGTTGAGTTTTATAATTATTTTTTTGGGAATTATTATTCGTCTATTTACATTTTCGCACTTATTGGATTGCTACGCATGCAGATATTGAATAAGGTCTTGACATGTATTCATGTTAATATTCAATCTTATTAACAACGTCAAACTGTATATATAAATATGTTACTGCAATATAGTGCTTATGCAAACTACAATTTATATAGCAATCTATTTGGATCTATAGAAATGTCTCAAATAATGTATTACTTAATGATTTTTTGCAGCCATCATTCAATATACACTTAGTATGGGTGAAACCAATTTCTGTGAGCGCAGTGGCTGAGCTTGGTGAATTTGATGTCTGAAATACACGTGGCTTTATATGATATGATATAATGATAATATTTGTATAATATGTGTAATAAAATCTCCGAGATTTCTCGTAGCTTATACTGCTTATACTAGACAAGGTTAATATATAATTTCCCTATCCATAGCATATTCTCTGATTTTCACATATGTTGACAGTGAACACTTAGGAGCCGGGCCACACCTGCTTTACGACTACACTGCTTTAAATGGATCCACCCTCACAGCAACACGCTGAAACGTTCAGGCCACCTGTTTTAATTTAGTTTACAGTTGGAAATCATGGTTAGTAACACCATGGCACGTGGTTCGTTAATGCGAGAAATCAGCAGCAGCTATAATGCGGTCGGGAAGACTTTCCAATATACCTCTAATCCTAACTTTACCCTCACCCCCATAACCTCTATTGATACTCAAATTAATTGTATATGCCCCTCTTGAGAACACCTATAGTTATCATCTAGAGGAACATATACAATTGAATGGGTGCTTGGGGCAAGATTTAGAGTTAGGGTAAGTGGTGGGGGTACTTCGGAAAGTCGTTCCACGCTACTCGTGCTTTTGTACTTAGCCGGTCTATAAATGTGTTGATTTTGCAATTAGTCTCACAGAAGTGTTAGTAAGTGAAGTACACAAGTTTACATATTTGTGTATCTACAACTCCGTACAAAACGCAAAGTAAATAGTTTAATGTCTTACATTAGAACGTACTTACGTTTTGGTGATCAGTTGGTACCTAATCATGAGTGGCCCTAAGACAAAATAAAACACATCAACAGATTACAAACCACTGCATTCGGACAAGATATTTTACATTTGAGGTATTGTAGTAGCCACTCCAACATTCTCGTCACATTGTATTCCATACGTCTTACAGACATAGTTTAAAATTATTTGTATATTTTTTGTTAAAATTTAATTGTATACATTTAATTGTATACATTTAATTGTATACATTCAAGCATTCTTTCATATACTCGAATAGTTGTTATTTTCGTCAATTTATTTTAAAGATACTGTTGAAGGTGATGATTATGATGGGACTAATAAACAGCATCACGTATCAAAACTATTCCGTGTTTGTCCTATTTTTGTAGACGGAAATGTACAATTTAAAACAGATGTTTCCTAAGATACTACTTGTATTAATAAACGACACAAAACTAATTCAGTTTCGTGTGTAAGTTGAAAACAAGTATAAATAGGTACAGTAATCTATTTACATCAGATTTGTTACATGAATGGTTTTACACAAATAAGAAAATATTATTTCACCATGATCACGTAAGTCCATGACAAATTGTATTTGAATGTAACAATTATCACCTTTAGTTTTGTAATATGTAAGTACATCGTAATATATTTTTAATAAAACAATGAACTAATGCGAATGAGTGATGACAGTGATATGTATATAAATAGTATTAAAAAGATCGAAGACACGGAAGTAGTTCTAAACATGTATTCACTATTACCGTATATAATTACTATTAACTGAGTTTAATATAATGCATGTCACTATTATATACAGTGATGCTATACAGATATAGTTCAATTTTTGTAATAAGAAATATTATAGTTGTGTAACACACAGAAACACTGGCACAATTGATGTACTCAAATAGAGTAGCTCACAATACGGCAATGAATCTGAACAATATAATCATAGGATGATTAGAATTGTGATACTAATAGATACTATTCCTTTATAATTTTCGCAAACACTAGTGACGTAACTATCTTATATATGCGTTGAGAGCAGATGACTGAAATATTAATAAATTTGGTGTATCCATGACAGTCGGAACATGCAGATCCGTAACACATGTTTATTTAATCGCGACAGGCCATCATTCTTATCATCGGGATAAGTTGCGTATATTCACTTTCTGATTAGGGGAACGCAGAATAATATTCGAAGGGGTGGTGGTCGACGCACTGCGCATGTGCGACATTTGTGTTGATAAACATGATTACCCCACAATTCAAAGCGCTATTCTAATGGAAATCACAAGTTTGACCTGGGCGCGACTTGCAATAATTACCGCTGGTGATTCCTTCGATACCTTCCAATCACCTGCAAAATACCTAATTAAAGCTTATCAACGTCTCAGTTTGTACTCGTTGATCTGCAAAACAGTCAAAGTCGCCATCTTTGTTTATATGAGACCCATATATCTCGTGCATGTGTGGCGCGACGACTATCACCCTTTCAAGCTCGAAGGAAATACAACTTGCTGCTTATTTGTAAATTAAAATTTAATTTAGGTCGTGTCTTATTTTTCATATTGAAATGGTTTGGTTAGGATACTCTTGCAAATTAGTTATTCAGATTTTGACATAGGACGTAAGGTCAGATAACCACGACAGTGTAGTTCCTTATTGCGTTCCACTTTCCGTCCTGGAAAAATAAGATAATTATATAATTTCACTTCATGAAACTAATAACCGTTTTAAACAGTGTACTATTCTTGGAGTGTACAAATGAACCAATTTCGCATAGTGTGCCTCTGATACAAGTCGTCAACAGCATGAAAATGAACATATTCGTGAGCGTCACAATTGTTCTACTATCTCTCATCCAATCATCATATCAGGATCAATTCATTATAGAACCCAGTGATACAACTGTCCTTCTCAATACGAACATCACCATGACATGCCGAGTAGAAGACTTAAGATATAAATATGTTGATCAATATGACGTATACTGGGAAAAGAATGCGGGAATGTTTTTGAAGGAAGCCAACGACAAGTATGGAATATCTACAATCAGAGAGAATGAATCACAGCCAAGCCAAGGTAGTATCACGGGCACTCTGTATATTGCTAACGTAGCAGAAACAGACGGCGGTTCATATATTTGTTTTCTGTATTATGATGGGGAAACACAGATTAATTACAAATCAAAAACTGGAAAGCTTACAGTGATCACATTCACGGGCCACCCTGTTGGAAACACTGTAGTGAAGCATGGTAATTGCAGCATGACCTGCGAGATTAAAAATTACAACAACGATACGTATACTATAGATTGAACTTGAAGAATATTGCAATAACAATAGATGGGGGGATAAAACGGAAATATCTATCGCGTTACAATGTTACAAGGGATGTTAATTCGGAGTCTGGTACGACCAAGTATAGATTGACAATTCGCAAGGTTACGCGTAAGGATGCTGGCGAATATAGCTGTGTTGTTCGCGACAAGGAGGACAAAACAAAGATGTTGCAGTCGTCAAAAGCCAAACTCTCAGTTATTTACCCACCAAAAAAGACATACCCTAAATGTACCTCCCTTAATCCAACTAATCAGGTGTATTATCCTGGTGACGTCATCACCACGGCGTGTCAATCTGGGAAAAGTAATGCCCCTATCGACTTGACGTGGAGAAAAGGAGATGTGATTAGGAATGGAACACGTGTTAATGATAATGTTCCTGAAATACGCGACACATGGATATTGTCATCCCATGATAATGACATCAACATTACGTGTGTTATGACCGGCCCCGCTGTGTTAATTGAAAGACAATGCACAGTTGGACCGATACAAGTTGAAGAAATCCCTGAGAAAGAAGAAACAACGATGAACGATGTCGAACCTTCTACTGTCATTGATACAACGACGTCAATCACCGTGACGGTTACTAAACCAATGCCCGTCTCCATAACTGCCAGTCTGACCGCCCCTTATAAAACAACAATCGACGATATAAAACCAACTACTACCCGTGATACAACGACACTGATAACCGCGAGGGTGACTAAACCAACGTTAATCTCGAAAACTGCCTCTCTGACCATCCCTTATAAAACAACAATCGACAAACTAAAACCAACTACTGCACTTGATTCAACGACACGAATCATTGCGAAGGTGACTAAACCAACGTCCATCTCCAAAACGTTCTCTTTGACCACTCGATCTCCTTATAAAACAACAATCGACAAAATAAAATCAACTACTGCACTTGATTCAACGACACGAATCATTGCGAAGGTGACTAAACCAACGTCCATCTCCAAAACGTTCTCTTCGACCACTCGATCTCCTTACAAAACAACAATCGACAAAATAAAACCAACTACTGCACTTGATTCAACGACACGAATCATTGCGAAGGTGACTAAACCAACGTCCATCTCCAAAACGTTCTCTTCGACCACTCGATCTCCTTACAAAACAACAATCGACAAAATAAAATCAACTACTGCACTTGATTCAACGACACGAATCATTGCAAAGGTGACTAAACCAACGTCCATCTCCAAAACGTTCTCTTCGACCACTCGATCTCCTTACAAAACAACAATCGACAAAATAAAACCAACTACTGCACTTGATTCAACGACACGAATCATTGCGAAGGTGACTAAACCAACGTCCATCTCCAAAACGTTCTCTTCGACCACTCGATCTCCTTACAAAACAACAATCGAAAAAATAAAACCAACTAATGCCCGTGATACAACGACACTGGTAACTGCAAAATTGACTAAACCAATGTTCGTCCCCGAAACTGCCTCTCTGACCGCCCCTTACAAAACAACAATCGACAAAATCAAACCACCTACTACACGTGATGCAACGACAGCAATCACCGCGAAGTTTACTAAACCGACGACCGTCTCCTTGGCCGCGTCTTACAAAAAGACCGACGACATCGAATCGACTACCTCACCTGATACAACGGCACCGATCACAGTGACGGTTATCAATGCAGCGACCATCTTGAAATTTGCCCACTATGAAACAACCCTTCATGCCACTGGCCAATTCACTGACAAGAATTTTGAAGCATCGAATACAACTGCTAGTGCAACTACCGTTTTTACGAAAGGGGTATTTCTAACAACGCCTGGCAATAACCAAATTCTTTCTATATCGATATACGTTACGGGAGGAGCCATTTTAACGATAATTGTTGTCTGTTCTGTCCTTATTTGTTGGAGAAATAATAAAAACGCAAAACGTAAAAAGAAAGGCGAAAGCCGAACACACGACATACAGGAGCTGACAGAAAGAGCCAACCGTCACGCCGAAAGGGACGCGGACAAAAATGAACATAGCACGGTGTTTGAACCAAGTAAACCGTCATTCACATCATCGAGTGACCATACAGTCGCTTTAGTCTCACCGCATGATGATGGACAACCTGGTGGCTCGGTAAACGACGATACTTGTACTAACGCGGGGCCTCTCACGACGTTCGCGAAATCGGGGGAGCTAGTTTACGCCGATCTCGATTTTTCCCTCTTTAAGCCGGAACGTGAGGGAAACGTAAAGTCGTTTAAATCAGACGACAAAGTCATCTATGCCGATATCATGAGCTGTTAAAAAACAAACAAGAGTAACGGCATTTCTTTGACGGACATTACTGCATTTCAAACCACATTAATCATAATATGTTTTCATACCACTATGTATGAAGCGACATAATTGTATAATAATCAGATACCATGTTCAGCGTGATAACGGGCCTGACTACAGCTGTCAAACTATACTTCGTTCAATTTAGTCAGTCTAATGCAATTATTATTATATTATCTACTGTGATTACAATTATTATAAAAACTAAAATAGTTACTCGGTGAAATCAAGCATTTCATTGCTTAAACTATTTACTAGAACAATTTATATAACCAAAACATCCTTCGCAAAACATTTCAAGAGTATTACTGCACGTAATATTAATTACAATGTTAATTGTAATATTAATAGTTAAAATATAGAACCCGCACTGCCCATTATTATTATTGCGTGTTATGAATAACCATTATAAGAATCAGATTTTTTGTAGGACATCGTAGGTTCACATTATCGCACAATAATATACACCTGTTATCGCAATTCATTTCAACAAAAAGGCCATTCTCCTAATCCAATGCAGGCTCTGTGGAGATTCATTATTGTTTAAATAACAGGGCTCAGACCTCAGACTAGTAATACAAGTCTGAGCTCAGACAAAGACTGCTTCACGTCCAATATTGCGCACTTCCTTGTCCTTGTCCTGTTATTTAAACAATATGGATGACAAGAAGGGTGTATAGCGTAGTTAAACACGTTATCGCGTCTAGACCCTTTTCCGAATTCAATATGACGCTTGGAAGATTCATCACCCTCACAATTAAACAAATTCACTTACAATCACTGGGATTAATTATGAACGTGCAAAAATATTTTTTGGCAATTGATGCCCCGGTCAGGAAATTTTAAATCAATTAAAATGCACATGATATTTGAAAATATAATGTATTTCATTATGAATCCTATATATTCCGGATAATACGTGGTTATATATTATTAACTGCTCTAAGGGGATAGGGTACATTGGCGACAACGACTAGTAGCCGAATTATTTAATTACTCAAACATTACATGCATGATCAAATATAAACTTGTAGACGAATAAAAAAACGCATGAAATCCTATGCTTATTTTTTATTTGTTCGAACTCCTTGTTTCAACGCTCTTCCCGGAAGACCTACTAGTATTTCATTTAGTATTTTCGCCACAGAGGGCACACTACTAACAGAGGCTCCGAGTTGAACCTTAAGCGAGCCGAGTATTTCACGATTTTACTTCCCACAAAACGTGTTTTTCCTTTTAAGAATTCACCGGTGAGCAACTTACTGGATGTTAAGGGAGATAACAGTGCACGTTTCACTGATCTCCAGTCAAGTTGGTGCCAAATCTTGCAATAAAACAAATTCTGTATTTCTGTGCTAATCGCATTGTTCTCTGCGCGAATAGCCTGTTAAATTAAACTTTTAGATGTTTTGTCGGGTTATTTCTAAGTATTCATATGGACATTGAATATCATAATGGCAGTCTTTAACGTATTAGTAAAGTACCAGTTATACCAAAATGACATAACGCTTGGATGGTAATTTTTTTGATGGAGTACACTTGCTTGTTTAGTTTGAACGTCCATTTTCTAAGAAGGTCTACCAGGAAGTAAGTAAGTAAATATGTTAAAATAATATCCAAATAACGACAAATTAACGCATTAATAGGTCCGTCACATCAGTATCACAGTGGCATTAGTGTTATTTTCTGAACAGTGTGTCCAATAACTGGTAGTTAACGCACTCCTACATCATGAACTGTGTGTTACCACTCAACACACAAGGAGGAATACGATAATGAGGTATACCGCCAATTCAGCGAGTTTTTTTTAGGGTTTTCTGCAGCCTCGCTACAGTTTATGCTTTGCTATTGCAGGCTGCATACAGGCATGTCGTCACAGCGTACGTTTGTTTCGTAAATCTTTTTTTTTTATAAAAACAACATAGACAAGTGACCTGGACGAAAGATTGATCAGCCAGTAAGGGAAGCGAGACGGGCTATGACCAATCAGAAGAACTCTCCCAATAGTACCAGTTTTACCAACTGTCAAACAGTAGGTTTTAATCCGGTTTAAGCTCCCGAAACAATAGTCGGAGCATAAGGCAAAGACTTGAACAGCTGTTTATAAGTTAAATTTAGTTTTCTTATCCAGTCACATACTACACAGTTGTCATTTTTGAAAACCCACAACAGGCTAAACATCACTGACAACTAATGATAACAACTCAAATCCAATAATTTATAAAAATGGACGCTGCAACGAGAACGACTGAAATTTTACCCTGGGACAAAAGCTACAGTATCAATAAATATTTTAAAAAATCTCAAAAAAATGAAACATGTCACATAATAGTTATTCGCTGAAGACATGTTTTCCCAGGAAAATAAGTCATTTCTAAGGCGCAAAGTATCATATACTACCAACAGGTGTGCGCCCGCAATAGTTGGAAATGTTTACTTGTTATTTATTTGGAACACTGAGATTAGTTCCAAACAATATAGGTGATTGGTCGAGGCTTTGTGATATTTCTGGACGTCGAAATGGAATTAGTTTTTAGTTATGGTCCGTGCCGAATTACTAAACATTTGAACATGGCGGCGGTCGTTGTTGCACTGTGTCCGCGTAACATTGAAGCCGCAAGTTTTGTTCGGGGCATCTATAGTATTCTGTGAGTATTATTGAGAATAAAACTAATTCCTTTATTGACGAGTATTTTTGGTTTGATCTCTACCACCATGCTAAGATGCTGAACCTACGCGAGCATGTCGAGCGCCCTCTGCTGGCAGCGATGAAAGTTTTTTTTTTTTTTACTACAATATAATGTGTTCTGCATTGGAGATTTGAGATGATGAAAGTTCAAGGGCGAATTGCATAGTACACGAATCAATATAATACCAATAACCTACGACAATGTCGTAAAATAAAAGAGCGTTTAATTGGGCTTGTAACAATGACTGAATCTATATCGCTGTTAATTTTACCACGTGGTCTTTATGGCTTTGAATTCGTGCCTAGTTACCGCTGCTAGGATAAAGTTAGTGTTAGTTAGTGAGATATGCCAGCAATGCCACAGTCAAGTTCATGAAAAATACCACAAATTCTGAACAACGTGGAGGTGATTACAGTACGTGTGCCTATGACAGAGAGTTTTGATTCAGCAAACCGAATAATGTTAAAAGGGCGATCTGATTATACTGATTTAAATTAAAGGGGCATAGGCTGCTTTTTGTCTCTTTTTTTTCATATTTGATATTACATTACACTGAATCAAAATAACATTATGATACAAAATGAGAAATGTTTGGATGCTGTTAGTACGCATATACCTCACAGGAAATAAATGCTTGATCGACCAGACATTTATTTTTAACTCCGCTATCGACTTTGTCAAGTGATTGTCCGCCGTCGTCCGCTTCACCGTTTTCGTTTTTCGACTTCTTCTTGAAAACTACAAGCCTGGTGGCTTTGATATTTGATGTATATGTATATTGTTGTCATTTTTTTTGTAAAAAAATATACTTTTGACTTCTTGTTAATAACCGCAAGTCTGATTGATTTGATATTATTCTCAGGGTGGAGCTACGTCACAAGACGTTCCACGTTGCTAAGACGCACACCACTGTACCTCGTATTTCTAAGGGCTCTGCGCGCGCTGCTGAGGATCGCGGAACGCCGAGCAAAGAGCCGGTGAAAATTCGAGAAAACACACGCAGGGGTAATCTTGTTACACTGTTCAGGGGAGTCTCAACAACCATCCCAAAGTACCGTTTTCGGCCTTTCATTTTGTTTTCACCGTGATGGTTGTCATGCGGTGAAAATGACCGGATGTCCGCCCCCGAGAATACATATAGGTGCTACAGGTGGACTTCTTTCAGATTCGTTCATTTTGAGATATCTTCAACTCTTTAATATGAAATGTGCATTGCTAACAGCGGAGCTATCTCAACCGAGAGGCTACTTGTCTAAAATGCTATTATCAAAATATATGCCACGCTACATGGTGCGTGTTTACTGATTATACAACACATGTAATTTACATTTTAGGCTAAAAAAAAAACAAATTGTGAAACAGTACATGCACACCGTCACTGTCTTCAAAAGTACAAAACATCGATTCGCTGATTTTCTTTCGCTTAGTATGCAGTAGGTCATTTTTTTAGTGGGCACATAGAGCTTTTAGCTAATTCGGAGTTGTACCAAAGTGTGATACACATGCAAAATTGCAATGCCTGTATACTTATCAAAACATCAGTGTAGTTCTATCATATAATTCCATGATGATGGTTGAGGTCACCTGTCACGGGAAACACGTGTCCATTTGATCTTGTGCCAAGTGTATCTCAAAAGTAAAGTTCACATTCCTCGAACATTCTCACATCGTGACAACACGTGTTTGAACCGCGATATGAATCAAAACGAGACACCTGATGTCTTGATTTATTTTAAGAGTATGAAAAATATTTTTAAAATGTAACTCCGTATTATGGCACCTCTCCGCTTCGCATACAAATCCTGATTTGTCGGGAAAGGGTTTCAGAAGAGAATCCCCGAGAACTGTTACGCATGGGGGATATAACGTAGTTTCTGAGGAAATGAAAAGGAGATGTGCTCTGAGAAAAAATGCTGTCCAATGAAGATTATATGCGCGTCCCGGATTTCCCGAGAAATGTGACTTCTTTGCCGTTCCTTCAGAAACTATGCCTGATTGAAATGCGATGTTTGTATTGACTCCGATCGCTTTAATTCGGGTCGCCTGTGTACATAGCCGGCGACAAGAATTACTATACGGTAATTCAAATTTCTTTAAACGTACTTACTCTGTATAGTTGAGCGTAGGTCGTTACATTTATCATTGTGTCACGTTGTTGCGGATATGATTAAATAACAAGTGATACACATGTACATCATAACTGAATGTTATGTCTTTGCAATACGCATGTTTAATAACAAGATATAAGTGCATTGATGATAAAGAAAAGTGTTTTCT